ACTATTTAGGGTACTATCTTAGGGTCCCCTCTTTTCGGAAACTCGCAGATAGATCCTAGGGATATAGGGGTTAAGGCTTGCGGCCTAGCACCTTAAGGGCTATGTAAGTTGTAGGGCTCAAGGACGAGGGTTCATCTCGTAATCTGATGAGACGTGGAAAGCCTTTGCAGATGCTGGGCTTGGAACTCGACCGGCCGGCTCACTTACCAAGGATCAATCAGGAAAGCTTGGCTGTTCTCTTCGCACTGCGGGACATTAATCATGGTTTCTGCCTTGTGGTGTGCCTCCCTTTCTCTAGTCCTCCTTCCCTGCCTTCTTTCCTTCCTGCTTTCCTGTCTGCCCTCACCGCCTCAAAAGCGGCACCTGAACCACACAAACAGACAACTGTTGCCGCTTCCGTTCTTTGCATCCTTCTTCGAAGCAGTCCGCCTCTTTAGTGTCTCCGGTTTCGTTATATGGTAGTAATAGTAGTTATAATTGTACCCCATTCCTCCATTCCCTACTAACCAAAGCTAAGTTATAGGATTATTAAGGCCCCTACATTATAGTACCCTTATAGATCCCTTATAGTAACTTCGGTTTTAGGATTTGGGCTCATCTGACTGGGATCTACTCTCTTAGAACCTTCCTTGCTGAGAGCGCAAGGGCTTCCAAAGATCCTCTTAGGGTTTAAGGCTTTCGGCTTTAGAGTTTGGGGTTAAGGTGGAACCTTAAACCTTATACCTCTAAACCCTAAGCCCTTTAATCCCCAAATCCTATCTCGATAGTAACCTAGCAGCCCCTTCAAAAACCCTTTGAGGGAACCGTAAACCCTTATACCTCTAAACCCTAATGCCCTAAACCCTATGGATCCCTTATAGAGCCTTTATGGATCCCTTTACAGGAACCCCTATAGATTCTTTAAGGAAGCCCTACCAGCTTCGACGCTGGAGCCTGCAGTCATTCACATCCACAAACTCGGGCGAATGGTCACGGCCGTCCCCATCACGGATGTTCCGCCTGGCAGTTTAGGGCTTCGAGTTTAGGGCTTACTTGGAGGTTCATGGGTACTTATAAGTAGGGTTATAAGTATGGCTACTATACTTAAAACCCATATTACGGGGCATACAAGCCCATTTGTAACTACCCATGAACTTCCAAGTCGGGCTTTGGGTTTGGTGTCTAGCATGTAAAGGGGCCCCATTGTTTGGTGCAGAAATTGCGCACTGCCTTCCGGGCGCCGAAAGAAGTAGCGGGCAATGTTAAGCTGCATTGCTTAGTAAAGTAACGAGTTCGAAGGAAGTACACAGGTGAACTCGGCAGGTACTCGGGCAAGCAGAAAATCTAAAAACAAACTAAGCCAGGATTTCCGATGTTTGGGACTGGACCCTGCCAAGACCGGGTTTAGAGGCAGCCATGGCAAACCTTTCAATCTTTACAGCACTCTGCGAACCGATCAATCCTTCAGCGGTCAGACAAAGAGAAGACGAGAAACTCTCGGCCTTTTGAGGTCCAGTTTGGGCAAAACCTCGGCGTTCATCACTCACACTCTCACACACACACGCACACACACACACACACACCCACACACCTGCACACCAAACACATCTGAAAACCCTCAAACTCCAACACTTACATCCTTAACCCCTGCAAAGCCACAACCCCAAAAGCCCAAATCCCCAACCCCTGAACCCTAAACCCCCAGAAGCCTAAACCTGAAAACCCTCGACCCTAAACCCCTAACGCCCAAATGCCTAAACCGAAAGCGACAAATTTGGTTTCCGACTGGCCTGACAGGAAGGCCCACCTGCGACCAGGCAGGTGAGGAAGACCCCAAAATTTCCTTTGTTTGGGGGTTTGATTAAGATTTACGGTTTACGGCTTAGGGCTTTGATCGAAAGGTTTAGAGTTTAGGGTTGGAGTTTGGGGAGTGGGGAGGGCCTTAATCATGGGAGTAATAGAGTAGGGCTTTGGGCGTATGGCATAAAGTTACACTAGCGATTACAGCAAGGAAGCCAAAGGACTTGCAATACTACGTACTCCAGCCGCTATCCTGGTTCTTGTTTTGGGATTTGGGCTTAAGGTTTGGGGCTGAGGGGTTTAGGGTTCAGGGTTTAGGATTCAGGCCCTTGGATGGGGTGTCGGGATTTGGGGTTCAGGGGCTTGCGGGCTGAGGTGCAAGGCCCAGGGTTTAGAGTTGGAGCGCACTAGGCGAAACTCTAGCCTCGAAACTCTCAACCTAAACTCGGGTTTAGGGGTTTAGGGGTTTAGGGTTTAGGGTTTAGGGGTTTAGGGTTTAGGGTAAACTCAATGAAGAGGTTTTGAGGTTTGCCTGGACCCTAAAAATATGCGAAACAGTGTGTTTTTGCTGTCGGGCCATTGGTTTTTTCCTTACTTTTGGGGGTGTCGGTATGTTTTAGGATCAAGTTTGGGATGCAGGCGTTGGGCTTCAGGTTCTCCAGAAGCTGAGGTGGCTCTGACTTCGGGGGGCAAGTAAATTGGCCCAAGAGTTCAGGGTTGAGGGTTTGGGGTTCAGACTGACGGTCTGGGGTTTAGCGTTAGTGCTGAGGTTGTAGGGTTTAAAGTTCAGGGTTTTAGGTTTTTGGGTTTAGGGCTTAGGGTCAAGGGCAGCTGGGGATACTAGTGCTCACTATTCCGACCCCTGCAGTAAGGTGATTGTAGGTGGGTTTAGCTCGGACCATGCGCATCAATACTGAGCTCGAGAATGTCCAAATCGAGTGCGGGTAGCCCAATATCAGCGCGAACTCCAAGTAAATGCATAGCCTGTACCAAAAACCCATGAACCATCTGGCGCCCTATATGCTACTCCCAGATCCAGCACCTGCAAATACAGCGAAGCCCGTAAGTTCTCGAGCCGTGACTCCGCCAAGCCGCCAAAACCCCACAAAAGCCTCAACATCGCTGGAACACACGAGAAATGCCCTAAGAAAAAAAATCTAAAAGGCCCTTAAACTGGAACCCAAAGCCCCAAACCCCTAAACCCAAAACCCCGCACCCGATACCGCTAAAAACCCTAAACCCCTAACCCCCCTAGAACCCAAACCCTGAAACCTTAAACGCTAAGCCTCTAAAACCATAAACCCTAAACCTCTCAAACCGTAACCCTAAACCCCTAAAAACCCGAGGCAGAGATCAACTTCATCCGCGCCTCGTCCGGCTTGGCGGCTGGCGCGGGCACGTGCCCCTGCTTTGAGGGGTCGGTGCCTGACGCAGTAGCAGGACACAGGGTTTAGGGTTTACGGACACGGCCTTGAGCATAAACCAAAGCCCAAAAACAACGCCTTGGTGAAGGGAAACCTTCGTCAATGAGAGGGACATCAGGGCAGCACACACCCTAAGCCGCAAGCTGAAAAGTCCTGGGTCTGCATGCCTGGATACGTCGTTACGGGACATCAGAGTCGTTGGGCACAAGTTCAAGGCTTATCATCATGGTAAACATCATCCTCGTCCTCATCCTCATCCTCATCGTCAACCCTAAGCCTGCAACCCTAAACCCTAAACCCTATCATCTCCGCCATCATGATCATCATCGGTCTTGGCCTGGTCTAAACTATTTTTCCCAGGTGTGGCTCAGCTATTGGACGAGCCGCACCCACAAAAAAACAAGGCGATGCAGGCCAATCCAAGGTCCAAGCCAAGCCGCACCAAAGCCGAGCCGCACAGCAAAAAACGGGCCCGAGAAGTGACCATGCTCACAAGAATCTTGAATCTTTCTGCACGGACAGGCTGAGAATCGCAGTGGTCCTGATGATACTACGACGCAGAAGGGGCAACCTGAACCCTGAGCCCGAAACCGGAAGAGCAGCATACCTCTTGAGGAATACAGCTCAATCCACAGCACGCTTCCGATTTTGATCACCGATACATTGTTCTTTCCAGAGGCATTATGTAAGCTTCATGGGAACCCTAAACGACAAGTGGCCAAGGTTAATCCACAAACCTGCACAGACCCCTTCAGCAAAGCTGAGAGCAAGGCTGGGCTGCACCTAGGCACAAGAGGTTTCGGTCTCAGCTAAACTGCGGCTCCTGCTCAGAACTTCACGTCATTTAGAAAACCGAAGATAGGGATCAATAGTAAACAAGACGGTTTGCGTATTATGATTAATTGAGGTAGACTCGGTGTCATGCGCGGGGTATGTAAGAGCTCAAAAGGCCACCTAAGTGTGAATGCTTAAGGCGTCGGTCGTTTATGCTTGTGCGGTTTCGTGTCCTTAAGTTTGGGTTAGCGTTGCGAGCTTCAGATTCTGGATTTGAGCGTAGACTATAACCTGATTATAACAAAACTTCGAACCTCCTCTCCACTGTCCACATGGTGTTCGGGAATAAGGTGCACGACCCCTCAGAAGGGTGTGCAAGCATTTCCGCGCCCGCTGGCGCCAGGCGGAAAAAAAGATGCTGTTTCAGCGAGAAGGAGCCCAAGCTGTTGCATGTAATCTACCAAGGAACATGCTCTCACGACATGCAGTCCTCTATCCGCTAGAACCTATGCTATACAAACCCGAACCCTAGCATCGCACCAGAAGTGTTGACTCGCCATGAAGTCGTGCTCCCATCGGGCATGGATAAACCATTCCCGGTCCAAATCGGGGCTTTAGTTGAACACGGCGATTATATCCAGGAACAACATATGGGGGGCTATAGTGGGATATTAATACTCACTATCCAGATCGCCATACAACCCTTGCAAGACCGTGAGGGCATTGACGAATACATGCTTAGATTGTAGCATGGGAAAACATTCAGGAACTCCAACGAATAACATTGGTAAGCATTCGGGCCGGATCCACCGGGATTTCCATGGCCTGTGTCGGGCTGGCTGAGCGTTTTCTTGCCTGCTAGGGGGTTCCGTAGCCTCGGTTTCGGACATGCTGACTGAATGTCTTCTAAAGAGGAGCTCGATAGACTTCCATGCCTCAGTTGCGGACTTTCTGACTCTGAATGCGTTCCCATAGAAGCCTAGGATTGCACTTTGAGTGGCTCATCCTCCAGCGCTCGGCTACCTATTCACAGGGCTTCTGGACATGCACACCAAATTGCCATTGCTGCAGGTTCACCAAGCTGCTTAGCAGCCGGAAAACCTCGAGGCTATGCCTGTAACTGTTTCCGAGGACCAAGGTGCGCAAGCTGCTTGGCAGCTTCACATGTTCCAAATTCTGGCTGAAGTTGTTGCCGAAGGTCAGATGCAGCAGGTTTTCTGGCAGATTGACGTCTTTCAAGCTTTGGTTGAAACTATGACCGAAGACCAGCGTGTGTAAGCTGCTTGGCAGCACCACTCCCACCATGCTCTGGTTGAAGCTGTCTCCAAAGGTCAAACTTTGCAGGCTGCTTGGCAGTTCGACACCTTGCAGCTTCTGATTGAAACTGGCACCAAATACAATTGCCTTCAAACTGCTCGGGATCCCGACATGATCCAAGCTTTGGTTGAAGCTGTAACCAAATGTCAGCTTTTGCATGCCGCTGGGCAACTTGATCTCGCCCAAACTTTTGTTGAAATAATAACCGAAAATCAGGGTGTCCAAGGCACTCGGCAACCTGACATCGTCCAGGCTTTGATTGAAACTAGTGCCCAGCTCCAAATGGCGCAGCGCACCTGGCAGAGGGACTAGATGCAGGTTGTCGTTGAATGAGTACCCGAATGTTAGCTTTTGCAGGCTGCCAGGCATCGCGGCGAGGCCTTGCATGCAATCGAGTGAGTTTATGTTGAGAATCAACGTCTGCAAATCCTGTGGCCACGCCACGAGCGTCAATCGTTGCTTGAAGTGGTGACCGAATTCAATAGTTCCCAAGCTGTCTGGCAGCTTGACACCTTCCAAGCTCTGGTTGAAGTTCGAACCGAAGGTCAGCCTCAGCAGGTTTTCCGGCAGATTGACGTCTTTCAAGCTTTGGTTGAAGCTATAACCGAAGACCAACGTTTGCAGGTTGCGTGGCAGCTTCACGTGTTCCAAACTCTGGCTGAAGCTCGTGCCGAAGGTCAGATGCAGCAGGTTTTCTGGCAGATTGACGTCTTTCAAGCTTTGGTTGAAACTATGACCGAAGACCAGCGTGTGTAAGCTGCTTGGCAGCACCACTCCCACCATGCTCTGGTTGAAGCTGTCTCCAAAGGTCAAACTTTGCAAGCTGCTTGGCAGTTCGACTGCCTTCAGCTGACGATTGAACCCATCTGCAAAGGACAACGTCTCTAAGCCCCCTTTGAGCGGAAACTCTTGGTCAAAGTTAGCACCAGTGAGCACGCGCAGGCTGTCCGGAAATACCACTTCGTCCAAGCTTTGCTTGAAGCTTGAACGAAAAGCCAGCGTGTGCAGGCTTCTCGGCAGCTCGACACCTTCGAGATCTTGATTGAAATTGGTGCCGAGGGTCAACGTCTGGAGGCTGTTAGGCAGCTGGACAGCTGCCAAGCTCCGATTGAAACTGGTACCAAATATTAAGGTTTTCAAGTTGCTAGGCCATGTGACACCTTTCAAGCTCTGGTTGAAGCTGCTCCCAAACATCAGATTTTGCAAGCTGTTTGGTAGCCTGATGCCTTCCAGCTTCTGGTTGAAACTGGGCAGAGTCAGGGAGTGCAAGCAGCTTGGTAGCGTGGCGCCTTGCAGGTCCACACAATAAACCTCCAATTCCTCGATGGCATCCGTGAGCATCAAATCTGCCGCACTCAGGGAATGGCCAACTGTCCCTCCTGCCAGCCGGAGCACTCGCAGTAAGCTCACTGTTGCATGGCCTGCGCCGATTTTCTGGACAACATAACTGACCTCTGCGTTACAAACTTGTGGCAACAGGACCTGGGACTCGTCAAGAACACGACCGCCGGATGTCAGCTTGAGCATCTTGCCGACTTCCAGTCGAGTTCGTGCCGCGATGATTCTGGACACATCCTGGACGGTTGCAGCCTCATCGACTTTGAGCTGAAAGTTTGTTCCGTCCATTCCTGAAATCATCAGCAAAGTTCCTGTATGCGGCACTGGCGCAGCTGAACGCTTTGCCTCTGCTACCAGCCGTTCAGCCCGCTCTACATCTTCAGAGATGTAGCTTAGCAGCGTCGCATCGTCAGCCAAATACGCACTTGCCCCTGTGCCCATGGCTCACAGTGGGCTGAGACTCTTGTCTCTTTGTGGCGCTTGTGTGCGATGGGCTGGAGCCACAGCTCGTGTGTTGCATTCCGCGAGATTGCCTTTTGAACCAGCACAAGAAATCGCAGCAGGATAGGTGAACCCTAGGATCTCCGAAAAAAGCCACAGCACCCACTGTCACATCCCCCAAGAATGCTGTGCTACCATTGCGATGAGAGCATCATTTGCGTAATTACTCTCCGTGCTAGCAAAAGCTGCTTGTACCCGGTTGCGGCTTCCCCAGCTCAGAGCCCTCTCAGGCTCCAGCCGTCTGCAAGTAGGTGACCATCCTGTCCGGAATAATTCGACAACGCTCCTTGTGTGTTTATGAAGAATCTCGAAGTATCTAGGGTCTTTACAGGGTTTCCCTGTGCTAATTTACTCTTTGGTATAGTACAAGTCTACGGGGATTTGTACGGCTTGGGATCCTGTAGCAGTTTAGCGTTTTTGGTCTATAGTGCGGTCGTCGTACAGCAGGTGCCCTCCAGGATTTCCTAGTACAGAAAGCGGTGATTATGATAATGCCGGCTTTGATGTGACCTAGAACAGTACCCATGGGAACACAGGAACTTCTGAATTTGCGACATGCCTGTAAGGGATGTCCTTGGTTCGGATCTAGATTTGGGCTGCCTGATTCTTTGGGTTGTTTGGGCAATGACTTAGCTTAGAGCTTGGATACCGGTCACTGGTGGTTGCGGGCTTGGGATCCAGGCAACCCTAAACACTGAACTTTAAACCCTCAACCGTAAACCCTGAACCCTAAATCCTGAACCTTAAACCCTAAACCCGAATCTGGGGATCGGTTCAGACTTATCGTGCAAGGACCTGCCTCTTCAAGGCATGTACATAGCGCTGCACCACTGGGTCCGTGTCAAAGAGGGCAGCATTCCTGGGAAAGGTAGGGCCCATGCCATGGGGTTTGGGGTTTGGGGTTTGGAGCAGGGCTTCCGGTTTAGAGGGCTGCGAGTGCAAATGCCTTCGTTCTTTACGTCGCAGACCTCACGGCGACATATGAGTTTACCCAATGACAAGAACAAACGGAATCTGTACATGACAACCAAAAAGGCTAGACCCCCGCCCAACTTAACCTAACACACGAGAAGAGTCCCTTCAAGCAGAAGGTCCACATCGCCCTACCTGTACGACAGAGTATCATGTACATTACACGGTAAACCCGAAATGTTGCATCAAAGGCTCTTGGTGTCTTTCTCCACGACTTGCCTCTGCATCGTCCTGCGATGGAGGTGTCGGGTTGGGGATTTAGCACTCAGGAACTAAGATTATCTCAATGTGCGATTCTAACATGTGTAAGCCTAGACCCGCTTTTACCCGCCTACTCCCCTTACAAAAGGGTCGGAGTACCTAGCATTGTTATCTCCTATAGTCCCAAATATACGAAAATACTCCTGCACCCCAAACCCTAGTTATTCTGAAGATTAAGGGGCCCAGATTAAGCCCTTCCTGGACCCTGAAGAACCGACCTTCTCCAGGACTTCAGTAAGAAAGCCATATAAAAAGGAGCCCTAAAACGGTAGGGTTCGTTTAGGGGCCAGGTTCCAATATCCGTGCAAAACCCACTTGGAGGCCCTTTGGACTTAGTAAGTCTACTTAGTATCCCCCAGAAACCCTATTATAATCCCCATAACTTACCTTACTAACCCTACTTACTAAGTCAAAAGGGCCTCCAAGTAAACCTAAACCCCTAAACTCCCCTTAAAGAATCCCTTAAAGGAACCCTAAACTCCCCTTAAAGGAACCCTAACCTACTAAGGCAAAAGGGCCTCCAAGCAGAAGGCAGGAACCCGGAAGGCGCCCCTTAAAGGAACCCGTAGAGGCGCCTTTAAAGGGAACCCCAGAAGGTTGGAACGTGGAACCGGGATGGGTTTAGGGTTTAGGGTTTAGGGTTTAGGGCGTCTCGCCGCGCAGCGGCAGTATTTTCTATGTAGGATGGCGCCCCAACACTCCCAGGGGTGTGGGGGGGTGGCATATCGACGTCTAGCGTTCGAATGCGATTCCACCACCAAACAATCACACATTGGTTCCTCACCTTTTCCCACCCGCTGTGAGAATACACAGGCTTCCACCCAAAATATTGCCTTTTAGGGTTTAGCGCTTACGCCCTCAATTCCCACCTGCCTTTGGTCTGTCTGTTAGGAAGGACGCACCTACACACACCCCAAAACACAGGGCTCCGAGAGCCAGGGAGGCCAGGCAGGGCAGGGGGGGCCAGGGGGGGGCGGCCCCCCCGCGTCCCTGGAATCCAAATGGAAAGGGCCACCAAGGGATTTGGTCGTCGGGTTTACGGTATTTTAATCTCCTTCTGGGTCCAGGCACCCTAAGAAAAAGGGTGGGTACGGCCTAAGCAGGCCTGGGTGGGAATTTAGGGTTTAGGGTTTAGGGTTTAGGGTTTAGGGTTTAGGGTTTAGGGTTTAGGGTTTTTTGTGCTGGGATTCCCTATACTTTTACTTGTAGGGCATGGGGATAATGATGTTCCAACGCTCTGGCTTTTACCGTAAAGGAACCCTAAAGGACTCCAGAAAGGAACCCAGAAAGGAAAGGCCCGTACACGGAAGCCTTCAAGGAACCCATAGACCCTAAACCCTAAAACCCTAGACAAGAAACCCTAAACCACTGAAACACTAAACCCTAAAACCCTAGACAAGAAACCCTAAACCCTAAACCGCTAAAACAGTAAACCCTAAACACCTATATGGGTGGTTGTCAAAAATATGGTACCTTTTTGGGTCCCTTTTTCTAACACGGCACCTATTTTTTAGGGTGCCCAAAAAGGGATCATAAATTTGGCAACCACCCATATTATGACAGTGATTAGTAAGGCCTCTGTAGTATAGTACCCTTATGGATCCCTTATAGTAACCCTTGCAGACTTATAGACCCCTTTAAAAGGAACCCTAAACCCTAAACCTTAAACCCTAAACCCTAAACAAAGACCGCCGCTTTCCCCAGCTAGCGCTGGCGGCGGTCGCTACCGCGTCCCCACTGGTGGTCGCGGTGCGTCCACGCGATGGGCTTCAGCCCTAGTGGACGCCGACTTGGATCTGTCCGGTGAGGACGGTCGACGCTTAGAGCTAAGTGAACCTGCGTGCAGGCGACAGTCCTGCTCTTAGCTCCTAAGCTGATTACCCTAAACCCCACGATTTGGAGCATCATCCTAGGATTTGGGATTTAGGATTTAGGATTTAGGGTTTAGGATTTAGGATTTAGGATTTAGGATTTAGGATTTAGGGTTTAGGATTTAGGATTTAGGGTTTAGGATTTAGGATTTAGGATTTAGGATTTAGGATTTAGGATTTAGGATTTAGGCGCTCGCCACGCGCGTCACGTGCAGGTGTAACTTCTCGTAAGCAAATTCCGCTGGTCCCGGGCCCCCCTGGACAGTTGTCCCAGGGCCCCCCCGGGACAGTTGTCCCAAGGCCCCGGGAGCGGGCCCCCCCGGGACAATTGTCCCGGGACCCCCCCGGGACGCCCTGGGACACTTGTCCCGGGACCCCCCCGGGACGCCCCGAGACACCCCCGCGACTTTGTCCCGGGACCCCCCCGGGATTTAGGATTTAGGATTTAGGATTTAGGGTTTAGGATTCAGGATTTAGGATTTAGGGTTTAGGATTTAGCCTGATGTTCATTTCCTTTGCAGGTGCAATACCCAAAGCTACCTTGGAGGAAGTTGAGTCATAAAGCCTGATTTTCAGTTGCTTTGCTGGTGCAATAACCAAAGGGAGCCATCGCGTCAGATTCGTTCTGGCCTTGAAGGCCCCTGGGAGGCCCCTGGAGGTCCCTGCGAGCCACCTTGTTAGAAGTTGAATCATAAAGATATTCATTTCTTTCGTAACCAAAGCCACCTTGGTAGAAATTGGGTCATAAAGCCTGATGTTCATTTCTTTTGTCGGTGCAATACCCAAAGCTACCTTGGTAGAAGTTGAGTCATAATTTCATTTGCTTTGCAGGTGCAATAACCAAAGGGAGCCATCGCGTCAGATTCGTTCTGGCCTTGAGGCCCTTGGGAGGCCCCTGGGAGGCCCCTGCGAGTCACCGTGGTAGAAGTTGAATCATAAAGATATTCATTTCTTTTGTAACCAAAGCCACCTTGGTAGAACCTGATGTTCATTTCTTTTGCCGGTGCAATACCCAAAGCTACCTTGGTGGAAGTTGAGTCATAAAGCCTGATTTTCGTTTGCTTTGCCGGTGCAATAACCAAAGGGAGCCATCGCGTCAGATTCGTTCTGGCCTTGAGGCCCTTGGGAGGCCCCTGTGAGTCACCGTGGTAGAAGTTGAATCATAAAGATATTCATTTCTTTTGTAACCAAAGTGAAATTGGGTCATAAAGCCTGATGTTCATTTCTTTTGCCGGCGCAATACCCAAAGCTACCTTGGTGGGAGTTGAGTCATAAATCCTGATTTTCATTTGCTTTGCCGGTGCAATAACCAAAGGGAGCCATCGCGTCAGATTCGTTCTGGCCTTGAGGCCCTTGGGAAGCCCCTGGGAGGCCCCTGCGAGCCACCTTGGTAGAAGTTGAATCATAAAGATATTCATTTCTTTTGTAACCAAAGCCACCTTGGTAGAAATGGGGTCATAAAGCCTGATGTTCATTTCTTTTGCCGGTGCAATACCCAAAGCTATCTTGGTGGAAGTTGAGTCATCATGCCTGATTTTCATTTGCTTTGCCGGTGCAATAACCAAAGGGAGCCATCGCGTCAGATTCGTTCTGGCCTTGAAAGACTTCTAGGTTTCACATCTTAGCGTCGTGACGTCATGATCTAGATTTGTCCAAAAATAATATGCCTGGTTCCAAGCAGAGGTTATAAAGACCAGCAGGTTCGCCCTACTTCATCCATAGCTCCGAAAGGAAAAGAAAAACACCAAAAACATCCATCGCATCAGATTCGTTCTGGCCTTGAAAGACTTCTAGGTTTCACATCTTAGCGTCGTGACGTCATGATCTAGATTTGTC